TTAACACCAACTTTAGTAGGCAAGACAGCAAAGGAGATTTTGATATATGGGGAGATGGTGTATAATTTATGAAGGACTTTCTATAAATGAAATGGTATATTGCCGTTTAAGTTTTACTCCACACACAGGATACTCACCCGTACAGCTTTCCACCCCCTTTGGGCACCATCTCGTAATGCTATACAGTTCACCAGGTCCCCTTCCTTCAAAGACACGCCACCCAACACCTCTCCACTTGTGAAGTAGATTGCATCGTCTATCAGGCCATGGTCAAGACACAGCTGGGTTACCACACTGCCCCGCAGATGGCGAACATCCTCCATGCCTGACCAACAAAATAGATATAATACAAACAACCACTGTATAGATTATGTAGGGTCTAAATGTACTGAAAATGGAGAATACTAATTTAGGTTAGTTATTCAAGATACGTTTGCATTTACCTGTTGCACCAGGGAAAATCCCTTCTTCTTCATCCACCACTACTGTCCTCCACAATGGAGAAACCAGCTTGGACAACACACAACGCACAGTAGTAAGCATATCCGCAAAAGTAGCCAGCTACCCGCACTAAGGAAAACAGAAAATAATAGTTCTGAACATCAGTATGAGCACAGCAATGGCATTGAAATTTCTGGTTGTAGCTACATGCTAGCTTCATATTAAGACAACCGCAGCTTTTTTTTTTTTTTTTAACTTAATTAAGAAAGGGAAAATGGACCACGAAGACACACGAATAAAGGTAAGTATTTGTAGAAAGTAGTCCAATACCATGTTTACGAACAAAGGAAATGTGTGCTTCTTTTTCAAATTACCCTTCTCAACACAAATATTGCGCGACACTCTTCACGTGTTGGTGTGTCGACAGCTGGAGTCCAGGTAGCTTGTTTCAGTCTCGGTATGCAGGTTGTGTTTAAAACTGGAGACCTGATCAAAATGTGGCGCGCATCTGAAACACCGTTTTACGAGCACGCGCACGTGCGAAAGCCCGTAAATAAGAGCGTTCCTCTTTAAAAAAATAAAAAATAAAAAAATAATAATGTGTTACTTCGATATTTTTTTTTTGTTTCAGTAAAAGCGTCAAAAACAGAAGAATAAAATAAAATCATAAATGTGGAGTTAAAGAAAAGTTATCCTTTTGACAAAAAAAAAAATGTAAAATAATATTTAATTAGTAGACACCGTGTTTGAGCCATTTAAAATGTTGTTGCCAGGTGTTTATCATAGGTGTTTATTATACACATGCTTACATTACATTATTTTCTGCTGTCCTCACCGAAGTAACTTTTTTTTTAACCGGGGACATTATGGCCGTTAAAAACGTGACAACATGACGTTCTATCAGTTAACGGCTCCTAACGGCAGAGCAAAACAACAGGATAGAAAAAAAATACTGAACAGAAAATCTTACGAACTATTAAATCTGTACTGATCTATCTACGTGAGTATTGACTTGCAATAATCATACAGCAAAATGAAAATAATGTTGTTGTTGTTGTTAAATTACTTACTGACCAGCTTTCTTCAGATCTCTTGAAAATGGAGCAGAGCTGTAAGAGCAGATGCAAAGCTTTTTTCAAACATCCGTCCATTTCAAACATCATCGCTGTTGCTTTGGGTAAGTTAAATTATTATTATTTATGAGTAATTATTATGTTAAGGTTGGCAACTTTCTTAACTGTTAAATAGACCGTTTTCAGTTGATTCTATTGGAGTTACTAATGTAAAATTATTAATATTTTAAAAGCATTGAAATGTATCCAAAGGCAATTCAGCAAAGCTACATTTAGTAAGCTCTAAATGCCAATAAATTTGTGAGGGAATAGATTATAATCCTTTTGTTGATCACATTCAAAACTGAGCTAAATATCGACCAAATCATTTAGTATACCACAAATTATTGTATTACTGCAAGTTTCAAGACACAGCAATGTGGACGTAATATTTCTTTATGTTTAATGTTTTATGAATATGTCTAATGTTCTACATGGAGATTACCATTAAACCAATGTCCAAAGACTTCCATTAGTGTAGGCAGGCTGCAAATTATTCAAATGCAAAAAAATATGAAATAGTCCAAAAAAAATCATGAAATAATCCAAAACTAACACCACAATGGAAACTTGATGCAAAAAGCTGAAACACATTCTTTAAGAGCAAATGAGCTGCAGCGTGCAAATACAGTGACAGTAAAAACATAATTAAAAATAATAATGATAATCTCTGCTTATCCAGTCAGACCATTGAGAGTGATCCAGGTCTGTATGGACTACATATGGACAGAATATAAATCTGTGATCAGCATAATGTAAAAACATGTTTGGCTTTTGAAAGCTTTGCTGTGTTGTTACATTATCATTTTCATTTTTTTAGATTTCAGTTTGTTTTGCTCTTGTTTTTATTTTTGTTCTCAGCGACGGATTGCCGTTTCTGTCATGAAACTCTTACTATTCTATGTAACTTCTATGCTTTTTATTTTCATAGGCATTGCCCTGGGTGTGGTTCTGGCCCACACCTCTCTGTCCCACAGTAACAAAATATACATCAGTGCACCAGGAGAATTGCTAATGAGGCTGATTGAGTCTGTTACCATTCCTCACATTTTGTCACATGTGATCGTAGGTAAGCCAGAAGTATGATTATCAAACTATCAATTGCTGCATCAGGTATTAAACAAAAGTAATAATTAGAATTATTGCAATGCAAGAGAAGTAGTATCTCGGCTTTTTCATGCAAGGTTACCACCTTGACATCTCGCACCATTGTTCATTAGAAAGCAGCTAAAAGACAGGCAGCGCTAAAACAGTCTAAAGACATCAGAGGCCTCCAAACTACAGTCTGAATGAACACAATTTTTTTTAAATTCAAATTTAAATTGCGTTATGTCACAACATCGTCAATATGATCACATGTTCACGCACATTGACCCCCCTTCTCCCCCCTAAAATAAGCCTGTGATGCTACACCGCAACTCATGTCTGCATAAGACCAGAGAAAGATGTTTTTATAACATGCGTGTTCACTTCTCTAAAGAAGTGCATTACATTCAACAACAAAAACATACATTTTGGACACCTTATCTCACAGGGTGCTGCATTTTATAAAAACGGTTAAACTAATGTTTATCTTTTTTATGTGATATGTAGTACATGTCATAGATTGTTGTTCCTTTACTTTACTAGTATGTTACTTGATTTTCCATTTTTGTGCAAGTGTTTTGGAGAGGTTTTAAGGTCATCAAAACAATCAAAGAACTTTGATTATCCTGTGAAACAGAGCAGCGTTACAACACGCTTCCTAAGAATTTGGAGTTCTAGTTGATTATTATTTTTATAAATTAAAAAAGAAATCTGAAAGAGAGTGAGGGATAGAGAGGTCATACAGAAGTGTGGGAGGGAGTGTGCAAATAGTTCCCCTGCTTCACTTGCTTTCCCTTTTCTACAAACTTAATTTGCATTATCTTTAAGGTTGAGCAGTATCAAGGTTGCCCCCTGTGTGTGTGCACTACAACCAAACGTATGATGGTGTAGCATAAATACATGTCATTGCAGAACCTTAACTGCTGCCAGTGTTGAAACCAGTTTTCTGCCCACCCCTTCTAAACATGGATAAATACATAGATATCATTGAAGTGCAATGCCTAATATGGTGCACTGTAGGCCTGATCTTGCCTTAATCTGTCAATTAATAACATTTCAATGATGTCACACTGATGTTCAACCCTTCAACTGTAAAACTTCAGCTTTTTTATTGTTAATAGGACTCAATGGGCCGAGTCTCGGTATCTCCAAAAAGGTGGTCATGCGTGCAGCGGTGTACTTCACATCAACCACTGTTATTGCTGTTACTATTGGTAAGAAGAAATACCATGTGTCACTTATTTTGTATGATTAACTTTTGAGGACGGAGTTGGTGGACCTGTTGAGATGGTATGGTATAACTGCACCACAGACTCACTTCCAAATGTGACCGTTAAGTTGAATCCTCCTCTCCGACTAACTTAAATGTGTTCTTTTGAAATAATTTTTTGTTGCTGTGTTCTTCCCAGACATTCAAATCTGCCTTTTAATCTAGGTATTGTATAGTGTTGTCATAGCTTCAGAACAAACATCTTTGGGTTCTGTGTTGTAGGAGTAATGTTGGTGGTGTTTATCAAGCCAGGGGTCAGTGGTGAAGTAGAATTCGATGATGATGATGAATCCTTCTCCTCAGCTCTTGCCTTGATGGATCTGATAAGGTAAAAAGAGGATATTTAAACAGAGCTTCTTCGTTTATACCTTCTACTTCATCTGAACTTTCCAATTCAGCAAGGTATTTAGTTCATAATTTTAGGACCTTCTGGATCATTTAAAGGTATAATATGTAGAATTGTAGCAGACAGAACTTCCATGATTCCCTGCCAGCCTTGAAGTCACCTTTTTGTTATTGTTTTGATTGAGCGCCCAGTATGTAAATTCCCTTGGTGGCAGAATTTACATACTGTGCGTTTAATCCAAGACTTTAAATCACGTTATCTTTCTCAGTGTGATCATGTTCATATCTGCTGTCAAAATGGGCTTTTTGAAATTAGAACTTTTTTCTGTCATCAAGGAACATCAGTTTATTGAACCTCTGCATTGAATTAATTTTTCAACACCAGAGTCAGCCACAAACAAACCTCTTAAAAAAAACAGAGATATCCCTTCAAGTATGAAATGAAATCTTACGATGGAAGAATATTGCTGTTATTATAAACCTTTTTAACATCTCAGTTTAAACAGCATGCCTTTTGAACCCTTATGCTTTATCTTAAAACAACAAAGAGATACATATATAATCACATGGAATTTGAGACCAGCCCTTCATGGATCTGCAGCCTGGTTGTCTGAACATGGCACTGCAACGTCAGCTGTTCAAAATGCCATGCATGAAAGGGTTCAACAACAGCATGGTGTCAGTGTTAGTTGGTTTTGAAATGGTAATTGTGTTTGCTCCTCTTCACTCCTTTTTTTCATAGGAACATGGTGCCAAATGATCTGATTTTGGCTACCTTTCAACAGGTATGTGTTTACATCACCAAGTAGTGTCACACGCTCCCATGAAGGAGGCAATGTTATATTCAAGTCCTGGTGTGTGTTCTTATCTTTAGTACAAGACTCGGATCATGGAGTTTGAGCTTGATGAGGATGAGCTCAATTCTACCCAGGTAAACACATTTTTTTTTTGTCACTATAAAGATTTGTTTGTGTATTGTTGATGCATCAAATTGGTATCGGAATGGGTTTTTTTTTTTCAGTGAATTTTCTTTTTTTCAGATACACACAGAAGTGCGTCTCGTTGGTGAATATATTGAAGGAGTCAATATTTTGGGCCTGATCATCGCGGCAGCTGTCATCGGGATATGCCTCAGGAGGATGGGAGAAAGGTCCAAACCTATGGTGGATGTTGTTATCGCCCTTAACAAGCTCACCAATATATTAGTTCAAAATATTATAGGGTAAGGTAAAACAAGGCACTGAGGCCATTGTAGACTCAATGTTATATTCATTTTTATTTACGCCCAGCTATTATATGCACGCCTGGGCAACACAGCGGTGGGACGGTGTCTTTTCTGCTTTCACTACAGATGATCTGCAACTGACCTCTATTACCTGGATATAACATGATTTAGAGAACACCCCCCGTCTTGAAGTTAATGTTTCATTTGGGGCATTTACACTGGATTTCTTTATCCTCTGTAAATGTGCCAAGTGAACATGAACATCCAAGGCAGAAATATAGACTTTCTTCAATCTATATTTTACACAAAACTACTGACACTGGCACAAAGACGTGATGCTAATGTTTTGTGTGTAATTCTAGTCCTTATTGTTATATTAAAGGGGCTATATGTAACTTTCAAAAATATTTCATCCATTTTCAAAGCAACATCCATGTAGAAAGGGAGGGCTGGTAGTAACCAGGTCAGATCATAAACACAATAAATGACACTAATGTGAGCCTCAGGAGGTCAGAGAATCACCTACAGGTAGAAATGAGCAGTGTAAACGCATGTTAGCATGAGGAGGGGACACTATTGAAACTTTTCCCAAGTATTCCCATAACTTCATGCTTTGTCATCTGCCTTGCAGCTACTTTCCTGTCGGACTGTTGTTCATGACTGCAATGTACGTGGATGAGGTCGGAGTCAACTTGAAGACTCTCTCACAACTTGGAAAGTTCACTGCAGTGGCTTTTAGTGGGTATGTTTTCTTTTGCACGTTTAGCAATCCTGCTGTCGTTTGTGGATGCATGCCACGAATCACATTTGCTGCTGTTGTTTGTAAATTGATAAGTAACCGTAACTTCTCTTTCCAGGCTCGCAATCCATGGAATCATCGTCCTACCTCTGATCTACCTCCTGTTTGTGAGACGAAACCCCCTTTCCTTCATTAAGGGGATTTGTCCCGCCTTACTAAAGGCCATGCATTTCTCACGGAGGTAAGAGAAATGTGTATCTTGTTACTGGCCTTTGCACTGTATTGTAAAACAGAACAAATGTTGGTGATTGATGCTGAAAAAAAAAACGTGTGTGTGTGTGTGTGTGTGTGTGTGTGTGTGTGTGTGTGTGTGTGTGTGTATATATACACACACACACACACACACACACACACATACTTGCATAAACTGTGTCTCTTGTAGCGCTGCTACTCAGCTGTCCATACTTGGTTGTGAGGAAGCGAACCACATTGATAAAAGAATCACGCGCTTCATCCTGCCACTTGGATACAATGTCAACCAGGATGGAACAGCCCTTTATGAAGTGATTTCTGTGGGTTTCATCGCCCAAATCTGCCGCATCTACCTGAACTGGAGTCAGATACTTACCCTCGCGTAAGTCACAGCTATAGCATTCTGTCTCTCACTCTTTTATTGTTCTTGTCAATTAGAGCTGTGAGTAGAAAAATATGAACATTATACACCGATTTCAGCATGAAGCTTAATTTATAGTGATACCTCTTTATAACCAAACAAGACCATCAGCATCAGGGTTAACACTTTGTTTATTGTAAATTATCAATGCCTGTTACAGCTGCCACAAGGAATGGTGTCAGGAGAGGCAATTACACCATGTCAACTATTAATTTCTGTATTTTTAACATTTTCCAATGACTACCTAAACATAGCATTAGGAGATATTTTAGTCAGAAGACACTACTTAGGGACAGGATAAGCAAAGAGATTGGTCCAACTTTGTTCCCAGGAGCCTCCAAGATAGACACTAAATTAAATGTCCTCCCATAAGTGAGCAGTAATGTTGAACTGGTACAGTGTCCAGGGTGCAATCTGACAGGACTCTGTGTTTCCTCTACAGTGTGACCGTAGCTGTGTCGAGCTTAGGAGAGGCAGGGCTTCCAACTACTGAATCAGTCACCACAATTTTTGTTTTGAAAGTCCTCGGGATTCCTGCAAATGACGCTTGCCTCTTGTTGATCATACAATGGGCACTGTAAGTTTAACCTGTGTTTGTGCAGGGATCAAACACATCTCATATCAAACAGAAATGGTCGATACACAAGTTCATTCGCTCTGTGCTTTGTGACTTTCAGGGATTGCCTCAGCTCTCCTGTTAATGTCCTGTCAGATTGCGTTGGTGCAGCACTTGTTGCACATCTGTCAAAAAAAGAGCTTGAAGAAATAGATGAGCGAGAAAAGGAGGTGTCGAGGTAAATCTTTGATTCTTTATGGGGAAAAGGCCGCGGGCGTTCACGATCAATTGAAAATCCTTTTTTTCAAGCTAGACCAAAAAGATCCAGATTTGCACACCTGAAAATGTAACGTAAATGAATCCAATTACCCATGGGACTGTTTATGTGTGTTCATATCCAGATAAAGCTGACAATGTAAGAAGGAGAGCAGTGAGACATATTGGCTGTTAGTGGTCGCTGGCCTTGTGAACATTTCACATATAATTATGCACAAACTGGTGCAAAACAACTCAACAGAATGGAGAAAAAGAAGACTTTAATTTTCAATAATGCTTGTTTTGGGTTTTTAAAATGTGGGAAATGTGTTGTGGAATTGGTTTCATTTTTTGAAGATGCAGCCCATTTCATCAAAACCTTTTAGGCTCTTTTTATTTGCCAGTGTCTTCCACTTTACACACAAACATTGATTAAATGCTTTAATTACAAATCAAAGGCAAAGGTACAAATGGTGTAGTAGCAGGTTGGAGTAAGTCAGTGGAAAGAACCAGCAGAAGGTCCTGCTCATATCTCACTGTAAGTATTTATGGAAAAGTCTGATTCTTGTCTATATATCTTTCAGAGAGAGGAAGAGAGGAGAGGAGAAATAGGAGATCCATGTCAGTGTGAGCCTATAAGGCCGCTGACACAGCAGGAAGTGTCCAGACAGGAGCTGAAGACCAAACATGATATCCAGTGCTAAGAATTGGCAAAAGGTTGTTGAGTGTTTATTTGAGCTGAAATCAAACTTTTGATGTATGGAATTGATTTTATATAAAACTAAGTGTACCATTGTGCAGTCAGTGTTTTTACACCAGCAGCATTTATGAATTTGTTAGATTGTTGGTATTGTGTGTTCGTTAGCTTCATTTGTTGACTGGTATTTTGTCTGTTCGTCCAAAAGTAGCATACAGCTTTATTAATTCCATTCATTTGAAGTCAAATGTACCCTTTTTTGTGTATTATTGACTGCTAATTTTTTGATTAGATTAGATGATTGATTTGATATCAGATATATTGTGTTATGTTAATGTTTTGTTGTAGAATAAACTACCCAAACAGTTGTAAAAAAATCCTGTGAGATTTTGTGAGGAATGCTGTATTTAGCTATAGAAATAAAAAAACCTGTATGTTATACCAGCTTTTAAACACAGTTATTTCCTGGTGTATTGATTTAATTTTTTTAAAGGGCCTCTGTGGGGATTGTCTCACTTTGTTAGCCATTATTTGAGAGGTTGTTTCTGGAACTGCAGGTTTTGGGACTCCGACATCAAACAGTACATCTTAAAGAATGTAAACATTAATATATAATTATTCACACCAAACAGTCTCAGTCTGTGAAGACAGTCACATTTTATGAGCATGTTTCAGTCATATATGTACTTTTTTTTATTTGTTCCTTTGAGATTGCACTAGAACTCAACAGTCAGACTCTTTTCATTCATAGAAGGAATATGTTACATTCGTCATTACTCTCTTGGTTGAGGTCTGTAGATAATGCCTTTGTTAACATAAATAATATCGCACATTGACCACAAGAGGGCAGCGCTGCCTCTTTTTAAACATGAAAAGTCTTGAGCGGAGTGCAAATGAGGCCAGGGAGAGGAATCAGATCAGATACAAATCTCAGGGTCTGTGTTTCTATAGCTGGACACTCGTTTAGCCCTACAATGAAAACTAACGCTATGAGAATGGCTATGAATGTTGTGGGGGGAAAAACTATCCAGTGTATTTGCCATGGCAAGACAGTAATAAGCCTATTTAACTGTTAGATTCTGCAATGATTGGATGGTCAACCTGCCTGGCCCCCGACTTATACCTTTCCACCACAACCTACCCATGCCATTGCTGTAGAACAGATACATTATTGGCCCCCAACTGTCTTTGCTCATGAGAATACTCTTCTACAAGTGAGTTACCTAATGGCACAAGAACCTCAGTAAATGATAGTTTGATAAGTTGCCACAATGTCCTGTGCTCGTCTCCCGAAACGTCTCACTAGTACCCCTCCTGCACTCTTAGTAAGTAAGAGCACGTGCAGAGCAACAGCTCTTGCTGTTTTAAAGTTGCCTTCCAACCGTTTGGAGTTTTTCTGTTATTAAGGATACATTACTAACATGTTTTTGTTTAGGTAAGAAACAAAATGTGTTTTTACAGCTGTAAGCTTGTCATGTACAGTGCAGCCACATGAAAAGGTAAGGCATTAGATCTGCTCATTGATATTTATTTGAAATGGTGAATGTAGATAAAACAAGAAAACATTTTAGACTGAGGCAAGATTGGATCTTTTCTTTTCTTGGCATTTGTTATTCATCATACTGGATTCAAAGCTCAAATGTGTGCCAATTAAAATATTACAACTAGTTAAGTGATCTGTTATTGTTTGTATTAGTATACACTTACTTTTTTATCTTGTACTTTTGTTGAACACTGTTTGTATTTTTCTTTGACTGAGATTGATAAAACTTAAGACACACTTTCATTATAACTATTAACACAGCTGTCTTTTTGAGACAAGAAGCAGATTTTTTTCTGATAGGCAGTAAAGTATATTCTGGCAGTCAGAGAGCACATAGCGTCTCAAGTGTTGCAAAATAGTTATTTTGTTTTGATCATGAAAATGTTAAGATTTTTGAAATGTGAATCCTGAAATAAACTTAAAGGGCTCCAGAAAAAGGGTTTCTATGTATTCTTTTTTCTTATTTACTAAATTTATTTTGGGTCTTTTCATGCCTTTATTGTAGAAACATGAGTGTTGGAAATTGAAGGGATAGAGTGGGGACTGACATGCTGGAAAGGTTCCACAGGTTGCATTTGAACCCCAGCCACCTGCTTTGAGGGCTACAGCCTCGGTACATCGGGCACGGGAACTAACCACTAAGCCACCTGCTCCCCCAGACATAGGATTTATGTGCACAGATAATTTTCTATCCAGTGGCACACCATAGCAACATTTTTCAAAATATAGATAATCCAAAATCTGAATAAAATGAAATTATGATATTAAATTATGATAGTCATGGTTCCACACCAAATATAAAAAATGTGTTGTATTTTATGTCACTAGATTTACACCAAAGTTCATTGTAATTCGCATTCCACAAACTATTAAGACACTTTCAAGTCCTTCTAATATGAAAGACACATGTTAATGAGTAACATGGACAAATATCCTCAAACAATTTAAACTGCTGCAACTGCAGGCCTCTTTGTGCCATGTGCTTGTTGTAAAGCACATAGTTGGCATCATAAATCTTCTCTTATTTTTTAAATATATTTTATTTTTCTAAATGTACAACAATTCCTTTGAGGTTTTTTTTCCTGTGGTTAGGATCAGTGATGTTCTGCCGTGTACCTGCTCTGAAGGATAGAACATATTTGTTGTTGATTAAGCAGTGAACCTCTTAACTCGCTATATTTGAGTTACGCTGTCGAAGAAACATTTTTACAAACAAAACAAAAAACACCGAGGCAGCAGATTGCTATAACTATTATTATCAGTCTTACGTTTATTACCATTATTATAAATGTTAATGTGAAACTCAGCTTCTCAACTTCAGCTGCTATAACTAACATTATCAGTAATGATGTCATCATCTTTACAGTTGCTAATCTCTGTCCTTCTCTCTCTTTCTGCATCTCCCTCTATCAGACTTTCCAAGCCCAACACACTTTTGGCTGATGACTGTTCAGCATGAGTCTGGTTCTGCTCGAGGTTTCTGCTTGTTTTTTTTTTTCTTTTGCCATTGTTACTTAGCTAAATGTTGCCATGTGCTCATGGTGGATTCGTGTTGGTTCTTTGTAGATGATATAACGAAGAGTACGGCGTAGACCATCTCATTTTTCCAAAGTGTCTTGAGAAGAAAAATGGTCATGAATTGGCACCATACCAAGCGGCAACCTCCGGTGTTGAAAAATGATGCCAATGCAGTAGTGAAAAATCCTGCAGTTTCTTTGAGGGTCCGCTTGAGGCTGGCTCTAGGAACACTGGAACTCACATGGTTTTGTCCATTAATATTTACAGTCTGTGGCATATACAAATGAGAGTAATATTTCAGATTCATGTATGTTATTGGATTACAACTATAATTGCATTCATGTGTGCATCACTTAAATGTTTCAACTGGTAAATATCGTGCTCATTTTAACCATTTCATACACTGCTAGCTTGTGGCTCCACAGTCAATCATTTGATTTAAAAGCATGTGTGAGCAACTTTTAATAATCAATCTTTTTGACCACTGTAGACTAAGCGGTATTTCTCATATCTTTGCTGATCTTGTCCTAATGCATGCATGAAGTATTCTCAAAAGAAAAAAAATGAAGTAGGACTGCAAGGAGAAGTGCCAGAAAGCTATAAAAAAAATACATTACAATAGACTCAAAATATAGTAATTATTAGCTTATGGTTCTTGTGAAAATAAATATTGTGAAAATTAATATCCCTCCCCAACTGGTGGAAAGGGGGAGGGATGAGTGTGTGTTAATTAATTTGGTTCTGAATTTGAAAAGAACATATCAGTCTGAAAAGGAAACCACAAAGGGGTTTCGAGGGGAGGTGGGGAGGGGGGGTCACATTAATCTGAGCTACGCCCCTGCTCAGCTGCAGTCATATCACAGATGAGAGAGGGGAGGTAGAAGAAAGCCCAGAAAGAGAGAGAGAGAGAGAGAGAGAGAGAGAGAGAAGGGAATAGAAGAGACAGGGAAGGAGGAGGAGGAGGTCTGCGTTAACTCCTCCCCGGTCTCGGATCCTCTCGCAATCCTTATTCACAGCCTCTCACGTTGAGGATAGAGAGAGAAAGGGGAGAAACAAGAAGACGGGCACACAAGAAGAAGAAGAAGAAGAAGAAGGGGAGTAGCGAAACGACCATGGCAGTATCCAAAACGTCTCAGCTTGAGATAGTGTCCGATCACAGCGTACCTCCACCGCCGTCGACCCCTGCACGGAGCATGCAGCCGCACAATAGACAGAGTCCAGATGAATGAGGAGCTATCTACCTGGGCCGTGGACAAAATGAGGGTCATCTTCATCCAAAACGCCGGTTTCGTCGCAGCTTTCTCGCCTTTTAGATGTGAGTCGGTAATGTTGGCAGCGTTTAGGACGACAGATAGTATGAACGAGACAGAAATATCCACAGCTAGATTATGCCAGTCAATGGAGGAGTGAGGAGATCAATTTATTTAGTTTTTTTTTTTTTTCCTTTTATTGGTAAAGAGTTCGCTCGTTCATTATAGCCAATCTGTCAACACTAAATCGAAAGTGTATTCAGTTTTTGCCTTGCAGCCTGCAGACGACAACTGAATACATTTCATTACAAATTGGCACTATAATTATTATTGTTTATCCTCTAATATAGGGTTATGTATCAGCTTAATATAAACCGATAATGTCATTTAATTGCTGTGCTTTATCATTAGTGGGTTGATTATAGTCTATAGCGATAATACCATGAATAGGTCGGAGGAATAATCTCTGTTCACTTTGATCAAAGCCTATTGATCAACTAAGACAATCTGGAAATGTTAGTTTCCACATGTAGCCTTTATAATATGACTAGTAGGCTGCGCGTTATTCTTCGTAATTTATTTATTTATTAATACGATTATTTGACACATTAGCCTATATTATCAATTCCTTAAAGGTAGCTAGTTTGACGTATTTTAACAGTAAGAAGGTTGAACACTTCCCCATAGTGAGATGGAAACAGCTTATTTATCGCCCCACCGTGGGGCAACGCGTCCCGGGGCCCCGAGAGGACAAACCTCCTCGGGCAAACCGGCTGCTGGAGGTGACCTCTCCCCTCCAACCCGGACTCCCGCTCCACCTCTACCTGCCGGCAGCTCACCTGAAGGGACCCCGGTGAGCAGTGATGGACGGAGAAACTCGGGCGTGAAGAAACACCACCACAAACACAACCTGAAACACCGCTACGAGCTGCTGGAGACGCTGGGAAGAGGCACGTATGGCAAAGTGAAGAAGGCCATTGAGCGGCACTCTGGCAGAGAGGTGAGCAAAATAACAGACAATTTAACGACTCCCATGATGCTTTTTGCAGGTCCATATTCTTAGTAGCCTATAGCCTACATGCATACATTTCCTGTACCCTTACTTAAGCTACAAACAACTCAAGTCTTAAATGAGTCAGAGGCGTGTGCATGTCCTCCCCCCTGGGAATTCCCCCGATGCTCCAAAGGGCCCATGGGGCCACTCAGTTGTGGCTGCACACGCCTCGTCCTGTGCGGGGCCTCACTACCGGATGTTAGAGTGCAAATCCAGCTACTGACTGATGTGACTTCCAGTTAAGCATCATGGAAAACACCTAACAGTCCCCCAGAGACGCTGCTGGGACCAAAGCACATTTTTGTGTTTAAGTGTCTTACTTAAAGGCTATTCCCCTATCAGTAGGGTTTCTGTTTAACTGTGTTTGGTTGTGTCAAGTCACAGCTTTTCTATTTCCTTAAAAAAATAAGAGAAGTTAATAAACCAACCATCTGCTGTTGTGTCCCAGCAGACGAACATGTCTCCAAATGTTTTCACGTGTGACAAAATTTGACCCCCAAGAGTCCATTCTGGCAGGACACAAGGAACTTTCCATGCACGGCAAATGCAACGGAGGAAATTTAGTATAGGTCAACAATGCTGCCCCCCCCCCTCCAATGGTTCCATTGCTCCTGGCATAGGCATGCTTGATAGGGGGACCATAAACGCTCTGGTACTCTCTCTTACCCTGTCCCACTTGGCATGTCTAGTCTTCAGTATGTTTCCCTATTTATTATCGTCATGACAGCAGCTTTACTGCGATGTGGAGTATTTTACTTTCACTTGCGTCGTAAAATTGCACAATGGACATTGACTGCAGGGTCAAAGTATCTTATTTCAACATGGGTTAGTTTGATATAGCCTATTCTGATTGGCCCAAAACTGTTTACTTTTACTGATTTATTTGAGACTTTTCTGAAGGAATAACACTTCTTTACACAAGGTCAATATTTATTTGCATTTGCTAGTAGGCTACTGATGCCTAAAATGTCCATCCCATAGTCACATAAGGAAGAAATAGACTTACAAATAGTTCTTTTATAGGTCAAACCTCTGTGGCCTCATACCTTCCATTCCCCTGTAATCTGCTGTTATTTCCTGAAAATAGCACTCAGACCTAAAATAGCATGTCAGTAAAGTATAGGAGTTCCTTGTACCACTGTGTTTCACGTGGGAGTTTGTATATCTTAGGGAAGTCCTTTGAGGATCAACTTCTCTGCACGCAGAGCACCAGCAGAAAGCAGACAGAGCGTGACTCCCGGCCACCTCGCGGGCCACGTGTGTGTCTGGCACTGCGTTGCTAGAGTTTACTTGACCCCTGACTCCTGTCCCTTGTGTTCGTACAGCGAAGTAAGGAGCTGAAGTGAGGGGACAGGCGGAGGACGTTTTTTTTGTGTGTGCACATGTGTGGAGTAAACTGAAGGCACTTGAGGAAGATTGATAAGATGTGGGCACATTCGGCGTGTCAGCGAAAGTGGAACTGAGTGACTGTCCAGTCTAATCTGCCAAGCCATACATTTTACAATTTGACGGCTCAGTGGAACTTTATACAGAGTGCAATAGATCATAGACATCACAGAGGGGGGAAATGTGACACATGCACAGGCTTGTGTGTTTGTGGAAGATGTGTTTCATGTTTGTATACTCGTGTGAAAGATAAATAGAGGTGGTCTTTATGTAGTCAGTGCCATCTAGATGATTAGAGTGAAAAGGTTGTGGTGACAGCAGGGCCTAAAATGGGCAGTGACACATGAAAGGCCATCCACAGCAGGAAATGAGATTGGCTGGGAAGGTTAATATCCTGTGTGGGGGATCCATCACACACAGGGAGGGGGTGGGCATTTAGCATAGATACACACAGAGTAAGCCCGCCTCCATAACAAGAGAGGGGCAGCCTCAGTTAAAGGGGTTAGGGAGTCATATTAATATGAGCTTAAAGCACCAGATTACATCATTGTCCAACAATGGATTCACTGGAGGGGTTCGCGAGAGGGGAAAACACTGACATTCCTCTGCTATATGTGCTGCTCTTGATGAGGTATTATGATTGCTGGATGTGTTTGAGAATGAAGTTCTCTGGGAAATTGACACTCCTCTTCCTCGTACTAACTTTCGTTTTCTTTCTCACCCCTAACTCTGTGTCAGACACGCACACAGTCGACACAAGCGATGATCACGATCTGTAGAAAAAGCCAGGGAAGAGTGAGCATGCGATGAATACTTCATCTATTTTAATGGCCTGAGAAAGTGCAGGAAGATGTCAGGCTCCAGTGAAGCAAATCATGGACCCTCACTTCAAACGGGCTATTTTTTTTTTGTTGAGGGGACACCAAGATGAGGCAGGCCCCAATACCTGGCAGGGGCTGATGTGGGCAGCAGAGCAGGGCCTGTTTACTGTGAGTGACAGTAATAGGGATCCACTTAAGGACAAGCGAGGCTGTGTCAGCCAGCCGGGCCAGCTGGCAAGTGGCTGATCTGCAGTCCTGTTTAATGATCCACATCGGGGTCAGTGCAGGGGAACATGAGGAGAAACATACAAGATACCTGGCTACTTCTCAAGCCCAATGTGGGAGAGAGCTGCAGGGTTTGAATACAGTGTGGAATAAGAAACTGTAGAAGATTGATACAAGGAGAAAAGGAAACTTTATTTATAGGGAATAGTTTCAGGGAGAAAGTTTTTTTTTGCTTTTTGTTTAAAGGTTGTTTCTTAGTTGTTGCCTAAATTGATGAATTCCTGGATTACTTCCTGCATTAAATCCAGGAACGTGACTCACATTAAGCCTAACTAAACACGAAAGTCGAAAGAATAAACTCACGTTTCTGGGGATCAGTGGTAAAATGGTAATGAATCTGATGAGGTAAAGGAAAACATCAGTGTTAAGACACAAACAACGTTTAACCAATTATGAACCCAGCGTGCGGACCCCATTGGACCCAATCTTGTTTATTATGGTGTCATTTCTTTAAATTCTATGTAATCAAGGAATTCTCTGGAAGGGGAACAATTCCGGTTTGGGGTTATTTTTATTGATGTACACAGTAATTAGCTTGGCACTCGCTACTGCCTGTGGTTTCTCCTGCATGGAATAAAGCTAGGCTCCTCAGAATACCAGCCGCTTAGCCCGGATAGGACAAAAGTTTAAACTAACAGGATTCAGTGCGGACAGACTCCATATAGGCCTGATCAAAGCAAAACCCAGGACTCAATCCAGAGTGTTTAGGCTGCAATTAGAGCGACATGTGCCTGACTGTGTGCTCTACATTGGTTTATTTGGAAAAGGACGCTAACCTCTCAAAATAGGAGTGCAAGGCTTAAGGCATAAAGGCGTCCGCTTGATACAGCATTGCATTGATGAGGATGAAAAAAGAAAAAATCAAGTGTTATTTGCTAAATGTCTTGTAGCAGGCCCATTTACCCCATGGGCAAGGCAAGGAAACTGAATCACTTCCTGCTCTCTTCCTGATTCCTCCATAAAACTCCCAGCAGGTCAGCTATTCCGAATGTTGCCCATTACCCGCTCCTAATCAGTATGACTAAGAATAAGAGAAGGGATAGTGATTTAGTGTCTTCTCAAGGCTTTCAGACGGGTAAGGAAACACGGCTGTGAAAGTTTATACCGGCATCTGATTTATGGAGGAGCACTCTGACCTCCATGTCTCCCTGACTTCCTCGAGAAAGCATGAAAATTTAACACCTTGCTCACGTTGTTTTTCCCAGTACTTGTGATCACTGAAACATTTCACCAACTGTCGCACGGGCAGGCCTGAATGAAATGAAAGCAGCAAAGAGTTTTTGGTGTTCCCCTTACTTTGCCATGTATTTTCCCTTATTGTCCAGGAGGATGTTTTTTGTCCATATTTTTATACAGCCCGTGTCTTAGCTTGTTTAGTTACAGCAGCTGCGTCCAGATAGATGGTCGCCACGGAGACCCGATGTTTCCCCTTGTAAACCTGACTTCTGATTACTCTGTGTTGAAAAAAAAAAAGATTGGGGGTTCAGATCAGAAACCAAGCCTGAGCACTGACTAAAATCTGGTTACATGTAGGCCTATAGGCCCTGTAAGAGTTCAAGGGCAGCCCCCGGCATAGACGAGGTTGATGAAGTACAAAGAGTTATTTTGGGAGAGAGGTGCATCAGAGTTGGTCCGCATGTTTTCACTGAGCAGGACATCACATTGTGTACAGCATGTACTCTGTGTGAGCCATGTGCATTTTAAAGTTCACTGATAAGATAATGAGTGTGACATCAATGTGGTTGTACTTCAGTCTAATTTAACTTTCGTCATTTCCCTTTTCAAATGATCTCCACATACAAGGAAAATGTGGTTTTAAATATCTACACATGATGCATCCAGGCTGTCTTTCACTTGGGGAAGTCTATATTTTCTGCTGCCATCTGATCAAAGCATCTTCTGTCTCTCTCGCTCTGTGTTTCCAGGTGGCTATCAAGTCAATTCGGAAGGAGAAGATCAAGGATGAGCAGGACATGGTTCACATCCGCCGAGAAATAGAAATCATGTCGTCCCTCCGCCACCCACACATCATTTCAATTTATGAAGGTGAGGGTCTGCTGTACGTCTGGAAATACACACACACACACACACACACACACACACACACAAAACTGATCATCCACATAAACAAAAACACACGTTTTGTGGTCGAGCTGCAGGATTGTCATGTTATGTTATGCAGATGTCATATTAAGACCTGGACTACAGCTCTGGGATGTTATTTATCTTCTCTGCTCTGTCTGGCTGCGTGGGACAGTAAAAGTCTGGATGTCTTTGACGTTCTGTGTCTAGATCTCTCCGCATGCGTGTGTGTGTGTGTGTGTGTGTTTTTGCACGTGTGTTGGAAGTTTGTGTGTGTGTGTGTGTGTGTGTGTAAGAAGGGTGATATTCTAAGGGATTGCCTCTCCCACATCTAAGGGGTCTCATCTCTTGTCTTCTCTGGTCTTGATCTCAGGGCCAGACATCTGCTGGTACTTAAAAACAACTGCAGCTGGGAGCCAGACTGTACTTGAATGTGTGCATGTGTGTGTTTTACATATTAGCCCTTATATATTTGTGTCTATGTGTGAGCATAGGGAGACAATGGATTGACCTAAGTCATCTGTAGGCATGCACCCTGTATCTGACCCGCCCCAGTGCTTTGAAAAGAGAGGAAAGGCCCGGAGCAACGTCAACATCTATCTACTTCAGGAAGAGACCCTTTAATATCAAAGCCTTAAAGTCAGACTGAAATGGCTCACATTGACCTCCTTATTTTGATAGTCCTTTTCGAATGACCTTTAACTCGCTGTATGAAAACACAGCTTTGAATTAACGGTGAGTGTAAAGGTTGAACAATTCTCATTGAATTCTTTCAACGTTTTTCTCTCAATTAATCATCCTTTGTAATGTCGCCTGGGCCTATGTGCAGGCAAATAAAGTCACAAGGTGCCGCAGTGTGTGAGTAGGTTTCATATGATTTGTGGCTCGTGACTATTTTTATGCCCGTGTCAACAAAGCAAACGGTTTCAATGCCCCTTTCAGTGAAGCTGCCCTGGCACAATGGCAGCTGGTTTATCTGCCACTGCCCAAACTGGCTTACCCACTCTCCTTTGTCCAGTGTCAAAGTCTTCAGGTTGTTATCAGCGATCTATCTGCGTATGTGACAAACATCACTATTTGTCATGGGAACGTGTCAGCAGTCAGCTGGAGGACTGAAGTGCAGCAGAGTTTAATGGGTTTTGTCGGGGAATTATTAAAAGAACACCCAGTTTTATGAACTCCAACGAGGCTGTATGGTGTTTCTATGTGTGTCTTTTTTCTTTAGAAGCGGTCTAATTACCCCAACAATCGCAACCAGACTCATTGCCCTTGCCTTTTCTCCGCAAACCCAGCGTTTACTGTTGTGGCCTGGCCTCCACCCAGCCGGGCTTTAGAGATATATAGGAGGCCCGAGATTTGTGTATCCGGCAACACCCTCTTCAACAGCCCCTGCTAACAGCCTTGTGTGAAGCAAAGCTATACCAGATGTGTGCGTGAAGATTGATTTTTACCACTCCCTCACATTCTTCATCCATCAGCATGCTGTGCTAGGCATTTAAATGCGGATTTCGCTCTTTGCTCCCCAGGCGTTACTAAATAACCCAGTTCCAGCTTTTTGAAGAAATAGTCATCCTGAAAGGTACAAAAAAAACAACGATGCATCCAATCTACAACTTGTTCTGTGAATGTTAACCTGACAAGCTGTCTTCAGTTAAAAGGAAAGATTGACATTTAGGGGAAACATGATTATTTGCAAGTGGATTCCACAAGTGTCTATAAAGTGAATCTTACACTAAAGCCAGCAGCTGGTATATTCTGAACTTCACAGCTTTGTGGAGCCTGCTGCTGCTAGAAGGTGACGCTTTTTTACCAACGTGAGAAAGTTCTTCTCATAAAACTCTCGGCAAGAAAAGAACATACGTTTATGTCCCTAAATGTTGCCCTTCTCCTCTATGAAAGGAAAAAAGAAATGAGGAGATATGAAGCTAGAACAGACATAAAATCATTGATGCCGCTGTGAGGAGCAAAAAAGGCCAACATTTTTACGGTGTTCATTATGCTGCATTCTCTAAAGGTGACATAAGACGGGATGGTAAGCTCTTGAGGATCTTTTATTTATTTCCTTTGCTCAGTTCAGTTATATAAGAGCAGTTCAAGAAAATAAAAACGGATGTTACTGCAAAACAAAGAAGAGGAAACTTCCCTCCCTCAAAAAAACTCAGTTCAAACACACGTGAAATAAAAGAAAACACATTTGAAATAATTGTGTACCAACCCCTACAACACACATACATGTCACTCACCTATCTTCACTACAGCACACAATCAGGCTTTAGGCAGACACACACTCACACACACACACACACATATACACAGTAAACAGAAGGCACAATAGAAAGCAAACTTTTAAGAGTGCTTTTTAAGGACATAAAGTTCTGTATGACATAGTGTAAAGGCACTTTAAACTTGTCCTCTTTGCATGCCTGCAGCAGTGGTCTATCATCAGTGCAGGCAGTAGAACAATAAGTGCTAATTACTCAGATGTGAGGGCTTGACCCGGGAACAAAAGCCCCAATGAGTGACAGTGAGCCTGTCGTGGTGGCTGCTATACCCACCGGGCTAACAAACCAGAGTTATGTAAGCCAGGTAATTACTTCCCCACCAGGGGTCAAAGGTAAATGGGAGTGCAAGCTGAGAGTTGGCTTTACTACAAAAACCCCACCAAGGACCAATGTGAATATCACCACAGGTCTTCACTCCGTCAACCAATCAGAGGGCTGGATTGCTCCGTTTCTTCCCGTTCAGCCAGACAGACACGATCAGGGAGCATTACCATCACTCAGCGACTCTGTGTGTTTTTGTAGGGGATTATTCCTCTAAAAGGACCTGGGGAGGAGGGTGAGGAGAGGAGAGTGTGACAGTATATGAAGGTGCTCACTCAAGGGTGCAGAAAGCAGAGGCCCTCACCCCCGGTGACCCTGCTGTGTGGGAAAATCAACCCGCACAATGCAGAGCGACGTGGCGGAGTGTGTTGTTGTCCTGTCCTTGTTTTTTTTTTTTTTTTTCTCCTCTCTTTTTTTACACATAACCATTTTCATTCCCTTCATGCCAAAGTGCTGGGAGAGAAACATGTTGCCAAATCGAAAATTATACAGGCCACATACCAGCACAGAATGATATGTTTGGTGACTGCAGATGGTTTCTTTCTTCAGTCACCAGATGTGCAACAAGCCACCATTTTTTTTTTTTTTTAAACCAAATTTTCACATTTATATGAAAAAACCCAATAAATAAAAGATGAATAAATAGAAAGAACACGCCCTGGTGGGATAGTAGTTTGATCAGTTTAAATAGTTAATCATGTCAGTGTCCTCTTTTTGCTGTACTATAGCCTGTGTTATTGTTATTTTTGGATAAGGTTATAAAAGTAATCCTTTTCACTGTGATTTCTATAACCACGTCCAACTATTCCTTCAGGTTTGGGAATAACAAGTTGCTACTATTTATTTGTTAAAGCTTTTTAACCATCTTAAAAGGTTTGAACTTTTGGACAAAAAAAAACAAGATAGTACTTCAATGACCCTGCTGTTGTGTTCAATGTCGTACAACAGCAGCAAGGCCTTGTAACAATTTCCACATGAACACTGTCTGACAGCAGCGACATACAGTATGAACATATTGCACAACCCCCTTGGGACATCCCACATTACCAGTTAGTCAGATTCCTAAAGGCAGAAATGAATGATCAGCGGTTCAGCCTGATCTGACCCTGAATCTTGTCCCAGAGTGTGAAAGCTGAAAGCTGAAACCCATTTCTACATACTTTCTAACTAACATAACATGGAAGTGATTGGCATCCATGTGCCTGCACTGTCTCCATTTGTCACTGCTTTTCAATTGATAAAACAAGTTAAACAAGTTCCCTCTTCTTAAAGCTGTTCAAATAAACAAGAATGGATTCCAATACTTCTTCTAATACAGCGTTTCTCTCACAATAACAAGCGGATGCTCTTGCCTGTAATTTTTCTCTGGGTAATTAGGAGTGCAATGTTGCTGTCAGAAGAGGAAGTTACTCAGTGTTTCAACATGATGTGTTGAACAATGTGATATTTCATAATCACATGCACACTTTGTTTTGGGGGATAAGATTGGGCGGGTGTTGTGAAATGTGTTTGTTATGATGCACGGTTCAAGTGTGTTCTGCGGAGTGCATAGTGGGACACAAAAGTTTTCCCTCTTTGTCTGTGAATCTCACTCTTTCTCTCCTTGCTTCGACTCCTGCTTTTCTGTTTTCACTGCTCCGCTGGTCTCTGAGGAGAGGGTTTGATTGAGTTAGCAGTCCTCCCTGCAGTGTTGTGAAGGAGCCAGACTCATGAGGTGGGGTTTGTGGTGATGTAACCTTGGGAATAGTGTAAAGATATTATGTGCTCCTCTGGAATTTGGATCCCTGATCCAAAAACTCGAGCGTGTATGTGATTCATATATAATGATGTCCATTTGTGATTTTTAACATGATAGAAAACCTGGATTGTCTTCACAAGTTGTCCTCCCACCTTGCTTGCTGTTAATAAAGTTGTATTTCCTTGAAAGTAGATAGTAATGGACTCCAACTGTTTTCTTATCATTCCTCAGTGTTTGAGAACAAGGACAAGATTGTGATTGTGATGGAGTATGCCAGCAAGGGCGAGCTGTATGACTACATCAGCGAGCGGCGGCGCCTGAGCGAGTGGGAGACGAGACACTTCTTCAGACAGATAGTCTCCGCCGTGCACCACTGTCACAAGGTGAGAAAAAAACATGCCCCCCCCCCTCTTTCCTATTTACCTTACTTCCCTCTACGCTTCCCTCTCTCTCTCTCTCTCACACACACACACACACACACACACACACACACACACACACACACACACACACACACACACACACACACACACAGACTTTGTTTTCCAGGCGTGCTTATTGTAACACTCTCCATCCAGCTCTGCAGTCAGCCATACAGCCGGTTAATCTACAGGCCCTACACGGTATGCTTTTCTTGGCGCTCTAGCCTAAGGGAGTCATCTGTTTCTGAGTGAAGATGGAACACAGGCCGGTTTAATTCAGGCTTACGATCCGATTACAGAGCACCAAACAGGCCCCTGCATTAATTCTGTCCTCATCTGTTGACACACTGAAGGAGGCTGTCCCGAGATACCCCCAAAGCTTTCTCCCCTATGATTCAGCCACACCCACTTCAACCTACTGCTCTAAACCCTTCAACCCCCCCGCCCCCCAAGGTCTCATGCTTGTTTGGTTGGACTCCCTACTTGTCATACTCCCAACTGGAGATATATATGATGTCATGGTCCTCAGATAGGAGAGTCCCAGACAGCCATGACTGATGAATCATCACCACCAAGCACGGCCTTACACCGGGTGGGGTGATGTGAGTCACTGACACAACAAGCAAGCAATCAGAGCAGTCAGAGCAGTTTAAACAAAAGCTCCCTGCAAAAAAAATAACTAATACATCCGTCTGCATACCACATGTTAATACAGGGTTGTTGTGTTTTTTTTTTGGTTTTTTTTTTAAACCCCGGAATAGTTTTTTAATCCCCAAGATGTTGTGAGAACATCATTCATACAGGGCAGTAATTACAGGCTCATGTTTATGTGACACATGTGAGTTGAGTTTAAAAAGAAAATCGCAGCAGATGTCAGCATGAAGACCCCGGAGGGGACAAGGGCAATTAAAGGGAACTACACCAACAGACTGCGTTGATTTCCCCCGAGAGCCACAAGCTAGCTTTGTCGGAGTAAATCATCTCTCAAACCAGTCGACTGTGTAGCACTCCCCTCATGAAAAATGCATCCATAGATTAATTACGGTAATCATTACTTTGTTTTGTCATTGTCTTTCAGAATGGAGTGGTGCACAGGGATCTGAAACTGGAAAATGTGCTACTGGATGAAAACTGTAATATTAAGGTAAGTTTGCCCGTCGATCTTGTGATGCAGATTTAAATGCCTCATCTTAAATTGATCTTCATATGATGGATTAACAATCCCATGTTTGACGTAAACTTCACAAGTACCTGTGTTTTCACAGATTGCTGACTTCGGGTTGTCCAACCTCTACAACAAGGACAAGCTGCTGCAAACCTTCTGTGGCAGTCCGCTTTACGCTTCACCAGAGATCGTCAATGGGAGACCGTACCGAGGCCCAGAGGTGAGGGCCAGTCAACCAGACAATGGCAATGACTTAAGAAGCAGCTGCTCCCTTCTGAACTTCTAAGACATGATTATCTTTTTATGTAACCATCATCATTGTTATTGACTTCCCTTGCTGTTAAATTTGGTGTGAACCGCCTGGATCTCTCACCTTATACAACTTTCATCATTATTCTCTCACCAGTGATTATCATACACAAAGAAGTGAAAGGCTTTATTTTCTAGTTTCTTTGATGGGATTACTATTAGGCTCCAGTCAAAGGGGGGTCTCTCTTGCAACTCTACAGTGGGTCAGCTCAGATACTGTTGCAACCCTCCCCTGTACTCCCCTTCCTACCATGTGTTGATCCTTTGAAGTGAGGAACTGGAGGATAGTTTTCTCTTCATCTTTACTGGATTGGAATGGGCTCCACAGTCTAAAAAAAAACAAGCTCATGGTCAAAGTTAAATAGTTTTGGTGAAAGAAAAAGTGAAAAAGTCTCCCCAAAGCCACTCGTCTGGCAATTCCAGAGTCATTCCGAAGGGCGTTGTCTCTGAAATCGCATCAGTTACATAAAACAAAGCAACTGACGAGGGGAAAAAAAACATGCATTTTTAGATTTTCAAGTCCAAGCATTCAATTTAGCATAATTCACTATAATTTCCTCCAGAGTGCTAAAAGCTACAGAAGTCCGATCGCAATCGAAATTACAGAATATCGGTCGGGGTGAGGCCGCAAATTGCAGCAAACACATGCAACGAAAATAGAACACAACAATAGAGCGTGGCTCGGCTTGCCCTTGAAATATTCCTGATGTTGGTCAGGATCCTAAAGAGGAAGTACACTTGCTCTTTAACTGGCCTGATCTGATTTCCTCTTCCTAGACTATCTTATACCACCAGCTTCTACCACCAGAAAAAAAAAAAACCCTCAGTTCATCTCATCCCCTTGGTACTACAGTCAATAAACACAAACATCACATTGCCCTCTCTTTGTCACTGTCTCACACACAAACACACAGAAAATGCAGAATGGTGATGTGTCTCCAGTGAGTCCTCAGGGGCCAGGATATCAGACTCTACCATCTCTGCTGGACTCATTACCCTCCTCCATTCCCACCATTTCCCACGTCGCTGTGCACCTCCTCATGCCCCAGACACAAAGTCTTATGTAACCACTTACTTAGGAGGCCACATTGCATTAGGGTTGGTGGTCAAAAAGTGCTTGCTTCTGCCTGACAGAGCAGGAAAGAGTGAAGGGGAGGGGGCGAAGAAGAGGATTTATCTTTGTGGAAATAAGCCATTTCCTACAAGCAGACTGGCATTTGTCATTATTTCTCTAAAAACCCACTAAAGAAGCACAGCAGCGCCACAAGCTCTTTTTAAAGAGATGTTCTGAAGGGATGCTAGTGTCAACAATAATTACAGTGCTTCAAAAATAATTTCACACTGTTCATTTTTTCATGTCATTGTCAATTGACTGTGTTTCTGTTGCACTTCTCAAATTGTTGTTTTTGTGTCTTGCATGATGAAAGTAATGTCATGTTGATTCCTATTTTATTTAATAGGTGGACAGCTGGGCTCTAGGGGTGCTGCTGTATACCCTGGTCTATGGGACCATGCCATTTGATGGGGGAGACCACAAGAACCTCATTCGCCAGATCAGCAACGGCGAGTACAAAGAGCCAACCCAGTCCTCAGGTACGGCAGGAAACCTCCTTGTTTTTCTCATGTTTTTCTCATTCTTGGAGGAATACACCTTATCCAAGTGGTCTTTATTAAACGTTATCATAAACTGATCTTGACAAATCTAGTTCAGCTGGATTTTGATAAACATTTAAATAGAATATAGATTGGATTGCGCTCAGCACATAAAATAGAACCTGCAATATCTATTCAATCTGATGCTCAGTGCCCAATTTGTCTTTATAGCACTTTTTGTAATGCAAAACACATTTTTCCTTCTAGATGCCCGTGGACTGATCCGTTGGATGCTGATGGTGAACCCTGAGCGCCGGGCCACAGTGGAGGACATCGCTAATCACTGGTGGGTGAACTGGGGATGGAAGAACAGTGTGTGCGACTGCGAGACCCAACGGGACCACGGGGGCTCACCCATGCTTGCCCGATTCATCGACTGGCAGAACCGCACTGAGCCACGTGGTTCTGGAGCCAAAGCTACTGTCATGCCACAGCTGATGCGCCAGAGGCCCAAAAAGTCCAAGAAGGAGAATGTGGAGGTTGGACAGTCCCACGGCGGAGCGGAGGACAAGCCCGGTTTGAAGAGACCCAAGGGGATCCTTAAAACCAGGGTGACTGAAGAGCAGCAGTCTGCCAGTCTGGAACAGGGGGAGTCGGGTCAAATGATGGTGCCTACAAATGCTGAAGGTGGAGACGAAGCCTCAAGTCCAGATCAAGAGGAAGAGGAGCCTACTCTGAGTGGAGGCTCGCCGGCTAAGATGGTGCCTACTCTTCCAAAGAAAGGCATCTTGAAGAACAACCAGCAGCGAGAATCAGGGTACTACTCCTCGCCAGAGCGCAGTGAGTCCTCTGAGCTATTAGGGGGCACCAGTATGTCACTGCTGGCTACCTCCCCGCCTAAAAGAGTGATAGGGAGAAAGGGCATCTTGAAGCGAAATGGCAAGTACTCCACCTACAGTGGGCCCCCGTCAGCGGCAGCAGTGGCTGGAATCCTGGGTGAGCCTCCTCCCTCGACTGACTCTGGTCTGTCCCGCAGTCAGAGTCGGCCCTCAAGCATCGTTGGGGAGGACAGTTCTGCCCTCTCCTTGTCGCCCAGCTCTCTCAGCGGGGCGGAGTGGCATCCCTCCACCCCTCACCTCCGCACAAACATCAGGGCTTGTGTCTCAGCGGAAAACCTGCTGCAGCTCGCCAACTTCAAGGGCTTCCAGGCAGCGCCACCTCTCCAGGGACCCAAGTTCAGCCGCGGCTCCAGAATGAAAAGCTCCCCGGGAGACAATGGCAGCTTCTCCTTGCTAGGGGACCTGGAGGACATGACTCAGGTGTACCAGCAAGCCCTGGACATCAGCAGCAACCTCACCTAACAGATGGGTGGCAGGGAGAGAAGAAGCAGATTGGATTGAACATGACTGTGTGTGTGCATGTGTGTGTAAAGATGTATGTAGACGGCTTTAACGACCAGTGTGTTACTGGGATACACCTTTTTGGAGGTTGTGGTTTTTCATGTGAGGTTGAAATCTTGGAAATGATATGTCTACACAAGCACAGATGTACACACTCACATGCCCTTCTCTGGCCAGGGGGAATTTTAGACAGAGAGAAGGAGCTGGAAATGAAAAAAATGCCACCCAGTCTGCTTTCTTGGCCCGCCCATAGACTTTGCTGTGTTCAACATGTTTACATATTCAGCAAGAAGGCAAGTTAGAATCACAAACGCAGCAACCAGAAACTGGTTGGCTCTTTTCGTACGCCACCAATCTTGAGTTTGAGTTTACAAAAGCACCTTAAAACTCACATAGAGCACATGCTTTTGTGATCTTTACTTCCTTTAAAAAAAAAAAAAAAGAAACAAACCAGGGTCTTGTTCCAAATATAACTGACATTGCTGATTATTTATTGATATTTTTGTAGCTTTTAGTGCAAAACTGGTGGGCGCTGGCTTATTACTGGAAGAGTCCAAACTCTTTGTGTGGAACTGACATATATAATTATGTTACTCAGTGATAATGGGAAACATATATATACTCAACATATATAAGAATGCCTGCGCTTGTAAAACGTGCAGGCAGATATACCTTCATAAAAGCATATGTCCTATATATGTGTATGATACTTGGGAATATGTAGGAAGTGCCTTTTTTGATTCTTAATTCAAATTATGTATGTCATTTCCTAAAAGTGGAGGGAAAAGCCAGGCCAATCTGTCGCCAGTTGTGATTTTTTTATTTTTATGTTGATTGTGAATGTGGAGAGACCCAGGGCCTTCTGCACACAACTTTACATGTTTTTTGGGTTCTATGATTAATCTCAGACAGTTGAGATCAAACAGCCTCGTCTCCTTCCACATGTAGAAAAACACAGATAATGTCTGGGGGGAAAAAAAGTCCTTCTCTGTGTTCTTTGTCAGTGTTTAAGCCCAGAGTTTGATTTGTCAGCAGTTTAGGTGGCTTGGTTGAGCGCAGATTTTTGCTGGCAGCCCCTAAAGGGTCTGGAGCGACTCACCTAGTGGGACACTTGGTGAAGGGAGATGTCGCAGACACCATCTCACAGTCCTGGAATGTGCCTGGCTCTCTTAACCTTGGTTGTTTGATATTTTTTAGCGCCTACCTGATAAAGCAGGCTGTTTCTTGAGACGGTGCAGTTGTTTTACTTTACTTTATATTTTTTTTTACCAAAGAAACCAAATGTAGGTTATCCATTCTCAGACGTGATCATATTTTACACAAATCTCTTCAAAACAGCCAAGTAAGACAGTTTGTTTTAGCCTGCTGATGACACAGCAAATTCCTCAGACAAAGGGTGGAGACGTGTTGGTACTAGAGATCTCTATCAGCACCAGCCAGACTCAGCACAGGTGGGATTTGTGGTGCGTGCTCAGCCCTCCAGCTGTGTATACTAGTCCGTTATGTCAACCAAGCACAATTAGCCAGCTATTGTTTTCATTTGACAGTAAAAGAGGGAGGAGGGAGTGTGTATAGGTTTATAGCTAGAGGGTGAAGGAAAGAGTGAGAAAAAGTGGAACATGGGAAGATGCTGAGGTTGGAGAGGACTTTTCTGTTGTTTACAGGAAAGGTCAAGGAGTTAGATTTATGTTGAAGGAATTGTAAGGTAGAATAGTGAAAGTAAAGAAAGTGAGTAGAAAGATTAGATGGAGGTTTTTTTGTTTTGATACCAAAGATGGATTGAAGCTTTGGCGTTGGATGGGTCAGGGATTAACAAGGGTAATTTTTACAATTATTTTTCTTTGCCTTTGGAATCCCCATTGGTGAATGAAATCATCCCCACATTGGCTTTACCTCATGTTTGTTTATTTTTCTTATTTTTGGGGATTTCATTTGAGATGCTGGAGGCTGTTGATGCAGCTTGTCTTGAGGGTCATTCAGTGTGTTCTGCATGGCCTTAGAAAGTACATTACACTTCTCAACTGCAGCCAAAAAAAACAAAAAACAAGTGGGAGTATGATGACTGACATCATCCAAGATATCAAGTGATGTGAATGGAAAACAATGCAGGAGATGGCCCAGAGGAAATCGATCACATGTTGACTGTTTTCAGTGGGTCTCTGGTGTGAAGGAAAGGTCCTGGGTTCAAACGAAAGACCCGCTGTGTATTATATTGCATTTTATTGCCTTTTTTTTTGGATTTGCATTTTATTGTCAACTGGATTTACAGTGAGAAAATTATACTATGTTAGTATTTTGTTTTATTATGCTTCTGTTTTTGATTTTCCAAAATATAAGAAACTTTATATTGCTTTATGTTATGGCAGAAAACACTTCCTTCCTTGAAGTACTAGAATTTCGCTCCAGAAACTGGTTGATGCAGTTTGAGAAACCCATGATAAACTTCCAAATGGCAAAAACAACCCTTTAGAGTTAATTGGAATATAGGGGGGGAAATGCAAGAAAATGCACTACAATATCAATAGGTGACCCTTAGAAAAATGCCCCCCCCCCCCCCCCCCCCCAAGACGGGGAGGTGCAAAATGCTGGAACAACATCACGATAGAAAGGAAATAAAATAATGGGATGAATCTGAAACTTAAAACTCTGCCAAACTGGAAACACGTGGTGCATATCTGTTAGTCTAATCATAGGAAAACTTGACTGGATATTGTTATGACAATAATAATAAATTAGTATTATTATGTTATTTAAGTATTATTTTTTTCGTAATGGCTCATTACTTTTGATGGATGATGGATATTGCCACAATTTGTTTTTGTTTGTTTGTGATTCTGGACTACCAAGGTGGATTAAGTTGTGTGCCTTTGGTATCTTTTATGAACTTTTTTTTTTTTTTTTTGATATTGCAAATTCATATCAATGTGTTTTTATACTTTGTATTTATTGGTGATCAAGCCATTTAATTCGTCATCAGGGAGGGAAAAAAAAAAACCTTCCTGTTCATGCTTTGGCCTGCTCTGGACTGTGTGTTGTGTTCAGGACAAACCGCACAAAATCAAATATCAATTGTTTGTTCAAAATAGAAGTGGTATCATCTCATTGTGAAAGCAGTGGCCAAGTGTGATTTTTCTTATTAGTAGCAACAACAGTAGGAGTTCTTCAAATCCTGTAAAAGTCTTAATTCAGTCATTTGGGTGTGTTTCCACTCGACACAATGCCTCTGTAGTACTGTATCAACTCAAATAAATGGATCTGGAAATTAACACGTGTTTGTTTTTATGCTGTGTGTGGTCATTTGAGTTTAAATGTATCTATAAGTTATACTGCTGGGTCGTGTTGAAGTGTAATTAGGACATTCTCTATGAGTAGGATAAATAAATATAACTGCAAATGGGTCTCACATTGCAAACATCAATGTCCCATTCACAAAGTAGGCCAAGATGGCTGTCTTTACACTCTGCTAGCTTCCCTTTAAAGTATCTTCTGAGTTTAAGCATGTCTTCCTAAGGTCCAGGTTTTAAATGGGAAGACACTGATCAGTGCTGAAATTGTGTAAACAAATATCCCAATTGTTAGACCGAGAAAGAACTTTCACTCTTCCTTTTACAGTAGGGATTAGTTCAAACTATTATTAGTGAAATGTCCTCAATTATTTTCCATATTAAGAATGTGTGACCCAAAAACCTACATAAATGCATGAAGGAGGTCAGCAGTGAAGATCCACATTGCATCCTTACTCTATGAGTTATACATTTAAATAAGGGCACAAAGTTTGATTAAAGATGTCACCCTAAAAGAGGCCAGGTCATTTTGAATTGGTTTGAAAATGTATCAAAACCTCACAACAGTCACAAAGCAAGCAGTCAGTCTGTGCAAAGTAGAACTCCAGTTTGGGGCAGTGAAATTAGCCAATGTTTCCACACAACTGCTGCCTTAATTTGAACTTGATGGATGTTAAAGTGATACTCCACCCAAAATCTATTTCTGAAGCATTTAAAAGTCAATCACATAAGGATTAAAAGGTTGCTGTAAAACGTTTACAGTAATGTTCCTAACAGAAGCACAATCGTTGATTGCAATAAATTCTACTAGATTTCCTTGAAAAAAAACAAACAAAGCAAAGAAACAAAAAGAAAAGAATAAAACAGCCAAAGGGAGTTTTTTAAGACACCTATAAATGAAATGACCAAAATTGCCACTGGCCACATGACTGTTCTCATCAGGTTTTGAGTCCATCAACAAAAAAAAGTGGTCAGAGGCTAAGTCTCTGTTTCATTCTCACATATAGCTCTGGAAAGTTTATTAGTAGTCAGTTACTGTGGGTCGTACACTTTTTATTTGTGCACCCTCTCCTGCTCTTCTGTAGATCAGGATAAGTACCCAAGTAAAGTTAAACAGGCCTAACAAACAAGATTAAGGTTTATCAGGCAAGGCACTGATTGTTTGATGAACAGCATGTATGGAAGAGCTAGCTATATGTGCTACACAAATGACTTGGGGTACATGAGACAGGTATTTTGTGTATTTAGTCATTTTGGCAAAACTTAAATGATTTTATTGAGTGAGGTGACAGCAGCTCAGTCTGTAGGGACTTGGGACTCTTTTCTACTCGTTACAGACTAATTCTAGATAAGTCTGGCCATCTGAACATTTTAAAACCACTTAAAGGACAAATTACACGAAGAAATGTAGATACTTCACCACTAAAATTGGTCACTTTCAAATATATTCCCATAACAGCCATTTTCCTCCTAAATCAGTTGCTGTTATTATGTCATACTGTCTGCCTCCGAGGTTGTTAGTCCTATTACTGAAGGAACAGTTCTCCATTGATTAGCAAGTGCTACCTGCCAATGAAAAGGCTTAACTACGAGGTAACTGTAATGTTAAGAAGTTTAATGCAAACATTAGCTGTTGTCTAATTGTAACTAATGGGTTATCAATATTTTGTATGACATTGAAATATTGACAATGTTCCTCAGTATTTCCATCATGTGTTGGTCATTTAGAGTTCAGAAAAACAATGGTATGATGACAGTGTTCCCGAGGTTTTCATGATGTACAAGGTTAAACTTATTTTAGCCTCCTAGATATGTTGATGTTGAATGAAAATGAGTGGTACATGACAGAAATGTTGAATTTCAATTGAATATACCAAACTAAATTCCATCCCCACACTGTGTTTCATTAGAGTCTTGTTGAGCCAGTCTTGTCAAGAAGTGTTTCATACAGAGGAAAATGATGTGTGTTACCACTGTATTCTCTTGGACATTAGAGTTAGTAGTTATTCTGGGAATAGGCTATAGTTCGGCTAATGAAAACTGGGCTTCCATATAAATGATTGACAATATTGACCCATAATTAGATGACACTTGCCAAAACAAACAGGCAACACATGAAAAATGCGCAAATTGGATCAAATATAAAACATGTCCTAAGGGGTTGATGTGTGACAAAGATGTTGATATTACATCTTCAGTGAATAGTTGTGTTTATTTGGACCGTGCATACCTGCTGGTAATTACTTTTTAAAAAAGTAGACTACAATGGTCCCTGGAGAAAAGCATTTTTTTAGTCATTAGAAAGCTGACAGAGTCAAACAAACAGCAGCAGACAACATGTAGCAGAGAACACAGTTCATGTCTGGCTCGGGGAAGGAGGAAGAGTGTCTGTTTTTAGGACTTGGAGAGTCCATTGATTGTTGAGGGAGAACATTGCTTCTGCTGGGTTAATTTGATCCACATTTTTGTGAGGGGGGGTGGGTGGTTGGCTGGAAGCTCTGCAGTCTTTCAGGGCTTTGGTTCTGATGACTAGGACATCATCCCAAACTTGTGCGGGCCAGACACAAGCTGCAGGCCTTGAAAGAAGACAACATCAAATACTTGTTCAGTATGGTGGAGAGCAGGATTTAGGTTTCCTCAATCACACATTGAAACTGTTATCCCAAGACTGAAATTGGTCTTTGTAAGCTGGTATGGGCCATGAAAGTAGCCTCTAAGCCTTCTATTTGTAAATCCCTCCTGCATCAATATTCATTTTTGTCACAGTGACAGAGAACTACAGAAAATAACATCAATCATCATCATCTAAAGTCATTATTACTTTTGGGAAGTTTTCTGAAAAATAGCAAGATAATTATCCTTGGAACTTGCACATGTCTCTTTTTGCTTGAATGCAAATTCCAGTTGTAGTACCACAGGCTTTTTTCTTGCTAATGTTTGACTGACAAAGCAAACAATAAAGCAATTATGCAACATATTGGTATTTAATTATCGGTCACACAATACAGATACAATAATGAAAAAAATAGTGATATTTCTACAGCTGCACCCCTGACACAGATATGATCTAAGTTTGTCTTCAGAAGCATTTCTGGTTCACTTTGTGAGCCCTTAAATAAAGTCCAGCTGGTAGACCCTCTGAAGTGTTCCCTCCTGTACCCTCCTCCCTCCATCTGCAGTAGGTGATCCTGTTTGGCCCTGGAGGCTGGGTTTGGGTTGTGAACACGGCATACCCTACTACACATAAAAAAATGCCAAACCAGCCCAGACCTCTTCCAGTTTTTCCCATCCGGTCCCTTAGCATGACCCTGTTCACCCTGCCTTGCAGATATGGAGGTCTGCATAATGTTGGAGGATATAAGTTATTCTGTAGCGCAGACTTGAAAAGAGGCCTCTCTCTTTGCAAACCCCTTCCGGGCGCATGGGATGAAAGCCGTCACACACTATTATTTTAGACATAATAGCTGAAATATCTACACAGGCTTCAAAAATAGCTTTGCATGAAAAAGTTAGGAGCTATTCTGCAAATTGAGCAGAAAGTGGTGGAAGATTTGGCGAGTTCAGTGCTTCCTTGGCACATCTTGTTGCTGTCGCAGGCAGGATGTTCCACAGTGGAGGGTTAGGCTGGCTGTTGTAAACCGAGCCTCCTGTTCATTGCAGGAAAAATAAACAGAGGACCGGGTCTGAAGAAAGTCCTGAGTACAGTGGAGTGTGTTTCCCGGGTTAGCTGACACATTGTTTTAGGAAGCACAGTCTGAGAGGCCACTTTTCCAAGCTTTTGCAGTCATACAAATGCATGGGCACACTTGCATGTGAGCATTTTATACGTACTCTTCCATGGTTATTCCATTGCTCATGCATGCTCCTAGCTCACATCCCTGCAGGACTCCATTTCCTCTGTGTCACTGTGATAACATTTAGACTGGATATGGAATGGAATAAACCACCCTGCTTTCCTGCACTGCTTCCACTCCTATATCATTCATGCTCCATCCAGCAGGGCCTCCCCTGCACACCCAGCTCTCCATCCCCTCTCCTGTCCAGATGACTATTTTTAGCGGCAGCGCTGCTATTCTGGAATTTGTTGCTGACTGGCTGCTGCTGGGTGTCTGGGCGGCGATCTCTTCAGGAATGTCTGGCCCACTCTCAAACCACTCCAGAGTCCCAGTGCAGGGTGGACGGCTCAAGGCTCTGATTACAACTCTCTGGTCGCTTTAGCTGTAGCTCAGTGTTCCTCCAGTAGAGACACAAGGCTGAAGCCTGAGAAGGGAGCACATTTCTGTCTCTATCCTTTATGTATGACTGAACTTTTGTCTGTGTTTATATTTTGATGTGCTATTGCAATCGTAGTGGCTTGCAGTATGGGCACACCCAAAAAAAGGTAAATCATTAAAGACTGGGGTTAACATTTTGGTTTTTAATTTAAACAATAGCTTAACAATTAAGGGGAAATGTTAATTACATTTCTGGCACAATGGAATGAAAAGATTAACACCACTCTCATATCTGTTAAGCTAAAGTTTAGGCCACTGCAGCCAGCTAAATAGGCTTAGTAAATATCTAAACTAGATACAGACAAATAAACAGCTAGCCATGTTCTATCTCAGGGTTACACATTCCATCTACCAGCTCCTCTCAAGATCTTTAATTAACACATAACATTTTGTTAGTGTCATTGGTAAACAAACCAAGGTGAAAAAAAAAAATGTTTGTAGTTTTATGAGCTACATCGTGTGCCAGACTATTTCTTGGCTTGGACCAGTTGCCAGGCAGAGACTCCAGCCAAGAAGAAGCCCGGCATATGACCCCCCATAAATACAACCTTTTTATAAAATGAAAGAACAGGATACAAAGAGCCAGCTTTGCATGGGCTGGGGATTTAGTTACTTTTGGACAGTTTAACCCTGTTTACACTTTGTTTGCTAAAGCTAACATGCCGCTAGCTTTAACCTTAAGTTATTCAGTCTGAAAATAATGTGCTC